AAATGCACACCCTCTATAAATGCACATTTTTTAAAAACTTTACTATGGTCCCGAGGGGAGTGCATTTAGAGAGGGTTCACTGTATTATGTACACTCGAAAACAAATGTTGATAAAGTGGCGTCGTGATCTTCTTGAGTTTTCCTTTCAATACTTTTATATTGTTGGTAACTTGATTCAAACTGAGGTGTTTCTTTATCGATTTTAACCGCGCCGAGATCACGTAAACTACATATAGTTTTATAGGAAATGTCGTACTAATGCAGGTATAAAAAAAATTATTATACAGTATCAGTATATAAATACATTCTTAACTATCTCGTCAGATAGAATAAGACCAACGCATGCCCCATCAGAATATAGACAAAGCTCTATCTTTGTGTGAACACCACGAGATAAAACCTTGTGTGATATTAAATAACCACATATAGGTCTACAGCTCAAATATTCCTCACGCAGTCGAGAAAACTATCCTGTAGGCGGACTAACTCACGCAGTCGAGGAAGTTATCCTGTAGGCGGACTAACTCACGCAGTCGAGGAAGTTATCCTGTAGGCGGACTAACTCACGCAGTCGAGGAAGCTATCCTGTAGGCGGACTAACTCACGCAGTCGAGGAAACTATCCTGTAGGCGGACTAACTCACGCAGTCGAGGAAGTTATCCTGTAGGCGGACTAACCCACGCAGTCGAGGAAGCTATCCTGTAGGCGGACTAACTCACGCAGTCAAGGAAGCTATCCTGTAGGCGGACTAACTCACGCAGTCGAGGAAGCTATTCTGTAGGCGGACTATGAAGTACTCAAGCTGTTTTCTCGGTGATTACTATCTGCATTACTCATCATTTGGGACATCGACAAAAACTACATTATTCATTTAAAAAGTTATTGTCTTACCTCTGAAAAAATTTCGAGAAGAGCTATAACCGAGGAGAACCTTTTTCACAAAGATTTTTTGTTAATGTTACTGCTTGATCGACGATACTCTTCAACTCATTCTGCGGTATGCAAGGGTCTTCTTCTATTACTTGATAAATAACAGAACCGGCGGTAATATGCTCTTCGGTGGTGTTGATTAAAAAGTTGAAGAGTTTAGTATAAAGGTTAGTGGCGGTCATATTTATAGGAAAAAAAATAAAGCAAAAAAATAAGTAGTTGGTACCAACATCTTTATATCGTGCTTCATCGTTTTACAAAGAAAGGCAAGGAAAAAGATGGCTAGAAACCATATCGGGTGTAGGAAGGCGTGAAAAAAACATTGTTTATATCGTGCTTCGTCGTCTTATAAGGAAAGGGTAATGCAAGGTGAAAAAAATCCTCCAATAACGGGTGTGGGAAAATCTGGTTTATATATTGTACAGTGTATACATGTGGCGGGAATTCATAGATCCTTGACGCAATTGACGCAATTAATTGAGTCACTAATAAAACATATAAAATAATTAAGATTTTGATAATTGAGTCAACAGCAAAATAATTTAAATAAGCAAAAATAATTGGAAAAAATCAAATTATTTTTATTAATAATTTAATAACTAATTAAATAATTAAAATAAAAATAAACATGTGTCTATTTGGAGATATAAAGAATAAAAATATATAAAAAAGTTATTTTAATATAATTAAATTATAATTAAAAAGAAACAATTTACTTTTTAATAAAATTTAATAAAAAAATTTTTAATAATAATAAAATATTTTTATTTTATTATTATTATTTTTTTCTATAATTAAATAAGTACAAATATTTATTAAATCTTTATAGAAATCAACTAATATTTGATATATTATATTATATAAACTATTTTATTATCTTAAATATTTATTTTAGACTATAGGTATTAAACTATGAACATGTATTTGAAGATTTAAAAATACTATTTACTGTATTATAGGCCTATAGGTCTATTTATATAGTATATTTATTTTAATTTATATTAAAAAAATTATTATTATTAATTTTTTTTTAAGATGAATGGGCACTTAATGCCATGGTTTTTATTGAATTATTGTATTCGAACCATATATTGCAGTCTTATACATGCTAATATTACTACTAACTATAAGTTTAACCATTACCAATCCATCTTATATATTAAAAAATTTTTTCTATAATTAAACAAGTATTTATTATGTTTATTTGATCTTTTAAAAGAAGATATAATTGTACTTATATAGACTTTTATATATAAATTAATTACTTATACTTGAATATCCATCTTATGTATTTAATCTTTAAATATAATCTTAAAGATGAATAAAAATGCTCCTTTTTATTTTTTATTTCTAAGAAAACTTGAATTCATTACCTATAGTTTATCATTACAATTCACTTTGATAAAATCTTGATTACTTTATATTTCTAACCATTTTTTTTCTCTTTTATTCTATTCCAAAGCACTTTTTTAAGTTTTAATTTATATGGTCCCAAAAATTGAAATCACATAGACTCGCATGAACTCGCATACATATAAAAAACATAAGTGGTTATAACCCACCTATTAAATTTACTATAAAAGTTGGAATCGAATGGAATCGAACACAGAATCGTTAGGATCCTTACTAATATATAACTTGAACCAATTGTTATTGGTTAAATTGCTATTGTTTTCGAGCTAAATAGGTTTTAATAGATCTTTTTTTTTAAGAGTCTTGTAAATAGATTGATCTTTGTTTGGATATAACAACTTCTTTGCCTTTACTTTCTCTAAAAAGATCTTTTTCCATTCTTAAATCTTTTTATATCTTGGATTTCAAATTAAATATCTTATTCTCTTATACCAAAGATCAAAAGGTTTATTAAGAATTTTCCTAGATATGACTTTAGAAACTTTTATTAATTAAAAAATATTGGTCTATTCTTTTATATCTTTTTTTGTTCAAAGTCCAATAGATATGTTGATTATTTTCTTGAAAAAGTTGAATTTTTTTGTTTTTTATTTATTTAGAAAAATAATTATTGCTATATAATTCACATTCACTTTTTTATTAATATGTTGTGAAATCCATGTTTTAATAATCTTGTCTTGGATCTGATTTTATATGTCTTTTTGAATTCTTGTACTTCTTTATATATTAATAGGTAATCTAAAAGTTTTTTTTAAAGTTAACAAAATACACATAGGTTATTTGACATTTCTAAAGCTTTCTATTTAATCAGATTATTCATAGTTGAAAATTTATTATGAATCAGTTTGATCTTAAATATTTTGCTTCCTGCTAATTTAAGAGAAGTAGTTAGAGACCTATTATCTTTTTTAAAATCCCAAAAACCTTTCCAATTAGATTTTTCAGGATTTTAAATTTCTTTTTTTCATCTTTATTGAATTTAATTTTATAATATTTATTGCATTAAGATTTTTCTTTCATTGTAGTTCTTAAGAAATACTTTAGTTGAGATATCAATAGAAATCTTATTCTATTCTGATACTATAATGGAAACTGCTACAGATAGAGGCCTTTATTGAACTTCTGATTTCTCCTTGTCCATTTTCACCAACTGGTCTGTATAGTTGTTAAGGAAATCTTTATTGAGGGCTTTGATTTTAATAAGCTCTAAATATAGCTTTTTTTTGGATACTATGTTAATCAATCTTAACCAAAGCTGTCAATTTAATTTTTTCATCAGTCTTTTTAATATTCTTTTGAGATGTAGCTTACTTATAATTAAATAAATATTTATATAGAAAAAGCCATCTGTTCTTATCTTAACTGTGCTATCATTAGGAATTGATAGAATTGCTAAAAGAATTGTTACTAATTCTGTTCTAATCAATAAGAGCCAGTTGTCTATTACTGCTTGAAATAATCTATTTGAATTTGAATCTTCAATCTAAATCCATGCTGTATTCATTCTTAAGGACTAGTCTTATACTTGTCCTAATGATTTATCAATATAAAATTAATATAAAACCTGTATATTTTTTGTTTACATTATGATAATATTCTTTATATAACAGTATATAGAGATCCCTTGCCAATATATTGTCTTGTATAATTTGTTTGTCATAATCTTCAATCTTTATGAATTGAAATTTTGATGTAAGTATACTTTAAGGATATGTTTTTTTTATTTTAGTCTTGATCAGGTTTTTCAATATATAAACTTTTATAGGAATAGTTAATTTCTTGTTTCATTTATATTTTTTAATATTGTTAATCCAAGCAAATATAAGTATATAGTTTTCTTCTGTACTTCTGTAACCTAACTGTGTCTTGATAAATTCAGTTAATTTTAAAAATGAACTTGAGCTAATTTAATAGCATTCTATTTCTTTACTATTAGTTGTTAATGTACCTTTGCTTTTAATTTAATAAAGCTTTTTGTTAATATTGCTCATATTTACTTGTCAATTCCATTTTCTTATATACTAGTTTCTTTATTGTAAAGAGTGATCTGTCTTATAATACCCAGTTATATCTTGTCCAGTTTGATTTTAATACTTCAAATTCATTTGCCAATACTTGTTTTATTAAGAAATACTAGCTTGGAACTGATTCTTATTTATGGTTTTGAGGTTTTTGAATTAATTTTCAATTCAAAAGAGCATTGGATTCTTTATCTATGAGCTGATCTGCAAATATAATATTGTGTTTTTTTAGTGAAATCATTGTTTTGCTATAAACTTTAAAATTGTTTAACAAGGTTTTAATTGTAATATATTCTTTTTCCCATTAAAATATATTTTTTTAGTATAAGTCTAAAAAGATGATACCTATTTTATTGATTATTTTGAGTGTTTGGACTAAAAAATTTTTCTTGTATAGGATAAAAAATATATCATCTGAAAACATATTTGCTAACTTCTAGTATTTTATTTATGTTTGCTTAAAATGAATTAAGGTTAATATACTAAAATGATCTATATTGTTGAGATGATTTATAAAGTTGATAATTTGTCTTTTTAATTGAACTTCATGAATACTTTTGAATTTGTAGAAGATCTTATAATATATGGATAAGTTTGGTATTGTCCTTGTAATCTTGACTGCTTGCTTAAGTGTTTTTTTAAGTTGAGCTAAGAAAAGATTGCTAATGTACAAACTAATTGAGCTGTGTTGTATTCTGTATTTGATTTTGAGAATAAGAACTCTATTGATTATATATTTTATATATTTATTTGTAATTAAATTTTTTCTTAAATTTGGCAAGATTGCCTGAATTTCTTGTTGAATTTTATTGATTATATCTTTGGTTTGGTCTTTATTGCCAAGCCAAATACTCAGAAATCTTGAATAACATTTGTAATCTAACTTTTTAACTTCTTGGATGGATTGTTGATCATAATCAGTACTGGCTTGTTGTTATTAATTTGAAAATTATTTATTATATAAAACCCTTTTACTCTTTCCAAGATATGATTTATATCTCTTTGGAATCTAGCTATCTATATAGTATCATCCATATATGCTATAGCTACTTATTTAATTAAAAGTTTTCTTGAGGCCTTTGGATCATTTGCTGTTTTACTGAAATCTGTTATCCATGTATAACTTATTGTATACTCTAAACTTTAGTTTTCTTGTATCTTATAAAGAAGAGGATTATAAAAGATTCTTTAAAGAAATAGTAATATTATTTCTTCTTGATCAATACTATCACTTGCTATTATCTTTTTGATGAGATTCATGTTTATAATTATCTTGGTTATTTTTTGTATAAAGAAATCTAGCAGAAGTTTGATGGTTTTGTATGAAACCTTAATTCTTTGAAGTACCTTTTTTAGTATCTCTATACTGACTATGTCATATGCTTTTGTTATATCTTGAAAGAAAATCCAAAGTTCCTTGTTCTTCTCTTTAACTTTTTCACAAATATTATTTAGTAGATGAATTGGTTCTAACAAAATTAGATTCCTTAAGTATCTTATATTCTTTGCAAATTAGTGCCAAATGATTATTTAGAATTTTGATAAAGCATTTATGTATTGTTTCAAGAAGAATTATAAATTTAATATTATTAAGTTCTTTTTATTATTCTTTTTCTTTGGAGATTGGATACAATAGATTGTTTTTTCAAATCATTGATGTTATTTTAGA